ATTGAATATCAAGTGACTGAACAAGTCCCAATGATGTGAGATCATTTCAAAATTGAGAAAATAAATTCCTCCAAGCAAACTTGCTTTAGTGAGTGAGTATAAAATTAGTGAGGCATCTAACAATTAGTGGACAATTTTCTCAGCCCCCTCCGGTAGTGAGTGCCAAAGATCTTTAGCATTGCGCCATTATTTTCGTGGTTTTCTGCCTATTATCAAGCACTTCCTTTACTCCTCCCACCCCTTTCCCCTTCCCCCCTCTATTAATATGTGAATCATGCACCATATGATACTTCCATTTTTTCTAGATGTCATGTGATCATTTTTGTGCTAGATGTGTCATGATATGAAGAAGCAAAAGATTAGATTATTGGAACAAGATATTTGCATCTCAGCCTTTTTCCAACCTCGCACTTGATGGTTAGTTTCTCTCGCTTGACTTACCTTGTACCTGGGCATCGAATGGGGCAGTAGTCTAATCTCGATTGTGAAATTTACAATGAAATCTCTGAAAATGTTTAAATACCTGAAATTTACAGTGAATTTGCTGAAAATGTTGATCCCTGCAAATCTTCTCATAAAATGCGTACTTAACTGGGATGCGTACCTAAACGGGTGAGTACTTAAGTGGAAGTTTATTGTAATGATTGCAAAAACAACGTTGTAAGTAAAAGAGGTATTTACTTGATGGTACCCCATCGGAACCTAAACTGCTTGATGGGACACATCAAGTTTTGTTTTATCCGATGGGACTTCACCAGCGGCACACTGTCGCAAATTTCTACAAGATGTTCAAAAGCTTGCATCGTATGCGATCTTTAGTGTACCTCTGCAATCGTAGAGGTACGATTCACTTTTAACAATTAACGATTAATTGTGACAGACATTGTCGCAAGCACTCAAAGGTTTTGGATTTTGAGTTGTGGAAAATTTATCTCGGTGAGCAACAACGAACGTGTGGAATCTATGGAAGAAATTCAAAGGGAGTGAAGCAAAACACTTGTGAATTTGAGTGTTTGGTACTTTTACAAATTTTGGTGCTATGGGTAAGTCTCGAAAGAAGAAGAGTCCGGGTCCGATTGCGATGAGTGGAGATTTGTGTGATTCAATGATGGACGAAAAGGACAGTCTCACTGTCACAATTGCATTGCATGCACTATCTATTGATACAAGAACATACATGGCGCGTATTTCGGTGAGATCCATCCCGTAAAATGAAATTTAAATAGTCTAGTAATCAATTTAGGTTCCAATGTGATCACATCAAGTAAATACCTCCAACTAAATCTGCTATTCTAGACTTTGGTGATGTGATTTATTTTGGTAATGTAAAAAACGTTTGTCGCTTGATCTCACTACTTCAGATGCAGCTCGCACTCATTCAACGCTCGACAAGTGAGCGGCTACGGCAAATGGAAAATCACTTGAGACCGTCGAATGTAAATCGCAAGTGTGACTTTCAAGTACCAACACAAGTCCGAAGGAAAAGATTTAGGATTTCACTCTCAAGCTTTCGAAAAGCAGCATAAGCGATCTTTGGAGATCCTTAGCAGGTTAGTATGTACATGCTCCACTCTTCCTGATCCCATCATCCTTGTATAACTCTAGGGATGTTTGGAATTTTGCCCCATAGTTCAAAGCTGGAAACGAAGAAATTAACTTTGTTGTCTCCTATTTGATTTCGATGGAATGAGCAGGAAGAGTGTGAGCAAAGTTGAATGGCAAGAATATAAGATATGATCAAGATTTTTTCATATATCGCCAGGTAGATCAGAAAGTTCAAAGTTACAAATATGCTATATTCATTCAAACTTTTGAAACTATACTATTCAAAAAGCCAACAAACATCATGAGTATCCGAATGATTAACACCAATAATGATTTGTTTCAATGCAAAACACAAGCAATTTCTATATGCAAAGTAATAACATGTTTCCTAAAACAAGCTTCTTAATTATCTAGAGAAACCAAAAATACTACTACTAACCGGATTCATCACTCCATTTTACCCTAAGATTGTGAAGAGTTGGCTTATAGCATATCTATCTTGGACTTGAATCCTTAGAAATTGGCCTAATATTAGTCAAGTATTCATGAAAAGAGATTATCACCCCTTGTAAAACTAAAGCATCTAATATTGATCAAAAATCAACTTGTGCATTTTTACTATTCTAGAACTATCGAACCAAGTATAATTATATCATTACTCTAGTCTATTGCAAGTCATATCAATGTTAAGTACATATGTTATATCTATACTTCAAGAAACTGTATGCGCCGCAGCAAACATCACACACTCAACTATATCATGTGTGATTATTGTCTCCCTTCTAAAAGTGGGTAGATTGTTATATTTGATTATTAATTAAAATTTTTTTCATGTCAATCACATCAAAGTCATCAATTATGTTTTCAAACTTGGAAAAAAAGTTGATTTTTTTATTGGACAAAAATATATACTTCTGATTCATTACTTATAAATTGATATGAAAATATCTCAACAAAGTGTAAGCTTGAATGTAAGTCAAATTTTCGTGAACATGTAATATTTGTTGTATGTCAAATTCATTAACATATTTTTCAAATCAAGATAATTGCAAAATTGATTAAGATCTCGTGTTGGAAAAAAAGACTATTTTATAAAATTTATTGAAAACTCAAAAGGTATGAATTCTTGTAAGTTGTAGCAACAACTATGGGACATTTTTCAACAATGTATACCAATGTGTACATATTGCTAAAATCTAATTATTGATCTAGTTTATTTGCACTACATGTTACTATGATAACATTCAGCTCAATTTTCATTGTGATCAATAAAAAAAAATATAATGTTTAACAATTATAATCTTCATATCTAAAGTACGGAGGTATTTACATCATAGAACCCATTGAAACCTAAATTGCTTACCGAGTACCCCTAGTGGACGCGTCACGCGTGCTCTAGTAAACAAACGATGCAATCAATGGAACCCTAACAACTTCCTTGCTGTCCATCATTGAATCCCTCAAATCTTCACTCACTGCAATCGTTACCGGAGACTTCCCCATTGCACCAAAATTTGTAAAGTCATGTGACAATTCACAAGTACTCCGCTTCACTCCATATGAATTTACTCCATAGATTCTACATGTTCGCTGTTGCTCACCAAGTCAAAATTTCGACAATTCAAAACCCAAATCCTTTGTGCGCTTGTGATAATGTTTGTCTCAATTCATCTTTCTGCTTGCGATCACAAAATTACACTAAAATCCGCATATGATGTGAACTTTACTCTACATTAACACCTTGTAGAAGTTAACGGACGGTGTGCAATCTATAGTATCCCATAGTAGAAAACGAAATTTGATGTATACAATCAAGCAATTCAGATTCCCATGTGCAATCTATAGTGTCCCATGGGGTAAAACGAATTTTTGATATATACAATCAAGCAATTTAGATTCCGACGGGTAACATCAAATAAATACCTCATATGATAGATATCAGATATGGTTTCAGAGTTTTTAAACAAAATACTTCATTTTTCTAATCATTTACTTTTAACCATATCCCTGTGATTTTGTTAGGATTTTGATGTATAGTAAAAACACACTCCAATATATAGTGCATATTAGCTCATGGTATGAATTGCAATATTTGAATCATAGTACTTTAGACTTAGTTGAAAATTTAGTCTACATTGTGAAAGTATTTTGATGTATAGTAAAAACACACTCCAATATATCGTGCATATTAGCTCATGGTATGAAATGCAATATTTGAATCATAGTACTTTAAACTTAGTTGAAAATTTAGTCTACATTGTGAGAGTAATTAAATTCATGCGTGAAATATTGCAAAACTTTACATTGAACACAATACATTCTTCATGTGCAAAGTTAAATATATTATTTCAATGGCATTGCTACAATTGATGAAGTTGCTTGTGAGTTATTCTTATGTGGTTCACGCGTGTCTTGTATATCCAATGCTTTCTTTTCATACAACTAGGTTAGCCTCATGCTTATCACTGAGAATTGATAACGAAAATTTGATGATGTTATCATGACATTAATGAAGTCGTATGTTTCAAAAGATTTCTTTCCATGAAGTACTCTGCAATGTCAGAGAAAGATCTTCATCTTCAAAAGATTTCTTTCTCTGACATTGCACTTTATTTCATGTAAAACATTACTGGTAATAAGATGTATGCAAAATCAGTATGAGACTTACCCACAAGGCATATACTAATCATACCGATATTGTATCATGAGTATACTCATTTCATTGATACGTTGGTAGATACAAAAGATTTACCTGACAAGTATCTGGACGGATCATGTAAGGTTACACACAGCTACAGTTGTGTAATCTTACATCATCCATCCACATAGCCCACACCACATCCTTGACTTCAAAGCTGCAGGTCAGCACAGAAACTACTCCTGATTAGTAACAACTGGTTCAGATCGAGATGTCCAAGGGAGAAACATTGTCCACTTCCTGTCAAAATAAAAATTCCAAACAGTAATGTGCTATACTTGACTTTACATGAAGGCTAACTATCAACATACCTGTTATTGCCACGAGGTCTTCTGTACCCGACTCTTGTTTCGAGCTCGGCCTTTCTGATGAGTCCACAACCACCACATAGGCCAAAATGTACTCAAGAAAACCGTGTTAATCAATAAGAACAACCTTCTGAGTTAACATGCTTTAGTTCGATAACACCTTCTAAGCCTATTCAATATCGAGGATGGTAGTCCTTCCAAATACGGCTCAATAGGCGTGATCCATGAACTTCCAGGACACTGGACAAACTTCATGGTAAGTCATGCAAATCCACTTCACTATCGATACAAAGCACGTTGCCGAACGGGTACAACTTCGAAGGAGAGAAATCCACACGAATGTGTAGCTTACGTGAAGTCAACAAGTGCAAATATCGGCCAATGAAAGCTACATGCTAAATCAGGAACTATCTTGTATGACCAAGTTTGAACAGAAGACTAAGAAACAGCAGAATCTTTACTTTGACAAGTGGTAATTGTACAACTGGGCAGTTACTTATATTCGCAGAAGCTGTTAAAGAATCTCTTCTCTTTAGCTTTCCTTTATAGTCACGAGACGTGATAACACTCGTTTACTACAAAGTTGTACCCACAATAACTTCCGGGTTTGAACTATTGTCACTTACGCAAGGTCAAGGAATCTAGGTTACGTTGTGCTTCATCCACAATCCCCATGCCATACTAAGGAACACATAAGGCTCACATAGAGCCGTTGAGTTCCAGATCGACGAGGTTTCTCAAGTTAAGCCCTGCCGCCTTAACCACAATATACACTTCATCCACTTCAGTAAATTGGGAAACTGATGGACGTAAGCGACTGCGAAATCTCAAATTTACAATTACAGAAATCTAACTCTAAAATGTTCCCTGGAAATTCATATTGCTGCTAAAAGATTCTCCGACCTATCGTGTCTTGTCATCAAATGGGTTATTACATTAACATATGGCCACCATGCAACTTTCTTGAACCTTCTGCTGGGCGAGAGGATGTACAGGACACATATCCTGTTCTGGAGCTAAGATTCTATACATTTATTTGAGAATATTACCAACTTCGTACTACTGTTAGCTTTACGATCAGGAGACCGGATGTATCGTCAATACCAAATGACGAGGATAACATGATAGTGGCTACCTCTCGGTTGAATCTCGGAATTACTTCTCACTCCTCAATACGATGATAAACCAGCTCGTGATTGCATCCTCGGAAGATATCGCGTTCTTCCCATAAACTTAAGCTATGATACAATCCCACCTACATTCGTGCTCAAGTACTCTGGTTGTGACATTGACGTTGGCCCACATGTTTCCGTAAACTATTGTCATGATGAAACTACAATTGGGTAGTTGTTTACGATTGCAGAGCCTTGACACGAACAGTGAGATCCCGTACGAGGCTTCGTAACCTGTCTGGATTGGTGAAAAAGTCTACGAAAACCTGCCTCTCGCGTCCAACTTCGTGGGGATGATGTTTCACGATCTGCACAATTACATTTGAGGGGACAGTTAGTAAGTGTGAAAAATGGGGAAGACATACAGAATTATATAATTCTAGATCGCCTGTATTCACATCCTTAGGAAGCACTGACTCCACGCTTTTCAGCAGTTGGAGTATTCGCAAATTGTTCTGTTGTTTATGTAAGGACGTTATGAGAATCAAAGAATCTGTGATTTACGTACTCAAATGTACCAGTACAGAGACCTCTCACCTCAGCTTTTTCTCTATGTTCTCGAGTGACTTCTTCAATGGCTGCTGAGAGCTGAGAATTCACCTTCTCCATCTCCGCGAGCTCTTTCATCAAAGGCTACACATTTTCGAAAGAGATCATTTTCGTTAGGCAGATGATATTCACATATCCATCTATGGAAACAGAGTTCATGCAAAGAGTGCTGAAGTATCAATATTGAGCGTACCCAAGGGCTCAAGACAGGTTGCGCTGTTGTAGAGGATGCAAACAGGAGTTGTTGCATCTGGCGTATGATATCACACCTGTATCCAGTTGTCAAAAGTTAGCTTCAGAATGTCACTGCATGGTAAAAACTGATTCAAATTGAATACACTGGTCTGTGACAAGAAACTATTCACGAAAAGAATGACTATCCGAAAGGATTTCTCACAGGTCATTTAGGCATTTATTCTTGTCCTCGGGCAAAGAAAAGCTCATTTCAGCTTGTAGAGCCTGTTTCTCGTCGTGAAGCTGTGATATCTGCTGAACAAGTCCGAGAGCCGACACATACATTCGAGAACCTCCTTGCTCATCTGCAATGGACCCATTGCCTGTAAATTACAACAAAGTCAAGAGCGCGCTACTACGCATGGAAACAGGGAGGCAAAGAGAGCTGTTGTTGCTACAAATACACGATTCTAGGAACATACATGCGTGAATGTTGAGTATGTCGCGCACGCGATGGAGGAAGGTATCTTGATCATCAACAGCTCCTTGCTCGTTCGTTTCCGCAGCTGCATTTGCAAGAGCCGTGTAGCGCTCCTGGAAATACAATAAAATTACAGAGAATTGATTCAATCGGTAACTTCAACTCTAGTTTCAATGCAGAATACTTTCCTCCGAAGTACAGAAACGCCAAAACCACCATCGATGTGGATTAGAACTTACAATACGTCCTATAGTTGCATGACTAAACCCTTGTAAGTCTGTGTCAATTAATCTAAGAAGTTCGTAAGCTCCATTCATCTGCTTTCTCTCCAGTTGACAGGCAAACTGCAGAAACCGATGTCTCGCGAGCTGATCTGCAAGCAGACCAATAAACTGGTCGTACACCACCACCTTATGAGTCTAGACACGAATTTTGCTGGAAGAAAAAATGATTCATAAGGTGATGCTTAACAAACAGAAATGACAAACAAAAGTTTCCGTGGCACGGATAAAGACAAAGGTTGCAACAGAACTTCAAAAAGTATCAGGTTTAATAGGGCAGAAACCTTCTTTTGTTGCGAAATGTAGTATTCTTGCCGCATAACCTTCAAATCATAATCACCTGCATTCCCCCAGATCCAGTAGGCTTCTAGTTATTGGTCTGAAAACCATGCTACGACTGGCACATACTAAGGAATCCAGTCAGATATTAGGAGAAGGGATTTCAGAAGCGGAAGTGCCCAAAACATCCACACCTTGAAGTATGTAAGTGTCTTGGAGTTGGGCAAGCTCCCAACAAAGACTCGGAATAACCTGCAAGTGGTGCAAACGCTCGTCAAACCTCAATATCGTAAGAAGGACAACAATGCTTAAGAGTAACGTGGGATCAAAGGCTGAACCTCATTCAGGAGCTTCTCCTCAGACTTGGAAAGAGTGTATATTTCATTCCCAACCTCGGTGTGCTTCCGCCTGTGGAAATATTTCGGACAGCAGAAAATTAGAATTGGTGAGACTGGAACCAAAAGGTAGACACAACAATACAGTCCACGCTTCGTCCCCCTATCAATTCCACTAAGTCCAGGGATGAAGATTTACTAAGCTGATACAGCTCATAATTTTAAGAAAGTGCAGGTTGTGAACAAATTTTAACAAAAATTTACAAATTTTGACAGTTTCAGGACGTTGGCTTATAACTTCATACAAAGTCTGAAAGAGAGCTGATCTAAGAGAGATATTTTGAAAAAAAACAGTACCTGAGGGATGTTATATCAGAATGAATGTGGTGTTGGTCGGCAGATGCTTGGCTCATGGCCATTTGGAGAGAAGCTTGTTGCTTTGCATTCTCGACTTGGGCTTCCACCCATTGTCTTTCACTAACTCCAAATCTATGGGAAATGTTGTATAGTTAGATCTTATTTTACGTTATTGGAATATCATGCTAGAACACAAGTAAATCGTACTCATGTAGCAATTACTTCACTAAAAATGCGCCGGAATAATGTGGATAGCAGTGACATCTTACATGGAGCGAAGTCGTTGAAGCTCAGATACTCGACTGTTGTACATTTTCTCTGAATCTCCTGCCCCGTTCAGATAGGGGTATCATTATGCATAACACAATGTAAAAATCACAAGGTTGATGGTAATGACAATTTTTTAGCCCAGGTTTTACATTTCCATTCAATATCAGCTAAAGTCTGTTCTTTCACTTCGGTCCACTGTTGAATCAACGATTTACAGTACTTTGCGATAGTATTGATGAGCGGCAAACAAAAACGCTGCTTCACAGTTTCTTAAACTGGTCTTTATAACTGAAAACTCAGTTTTGCATCCAAAGACATAGTCCCTTGAAGAAGGTAGACTCAAACAGTAATTAAGTATCACCTTTGCTAGACTGATTCTCATCCTCAAGACCTCCCCACGAGCACTTTGACTGCCCTTCCTCGGCGACAAGTCGAGACGGACCCTGAAGATTACTTTGTTAGATCTGCATCTAAAATATTTTAGCTGTAAATTTATGCAAAGACAACCTGTTAAAAAGCACAAGCTTCCAAGCGATCATAAAAGTTCTAGTTATATGCCACACAACCACTTTGACTTTCTGTTTGTTCGAGGCCTGTATAAATCACTTGAAACTGTTACATATTATCTCAGCTCATATAATAACTTGACAGGAACCTTGTTTGCGGGTTTGTGAACCTTTCTTTCGACCGCAGGCTTTGAGCACTTACCACGTCAAATTGTTTGACGAACCAGTCATTTAGTGCTTTCGTACAAGCCTGATCTTGAGCAATAAAAGAACGAAAATCTGCAAATGAGAGATAAATGCCCTCCTCTGCAGAAAAGTAAGGGGACAATATTCAGCTGCCTTTCAACTGGTTACAACAAGATCTGCTCAAAAGAAATTCAAGACGTACTTCTTCTACTGGTGGACATTCTATCATGAGGAAAGGAATCCACAAGCTTCTGTAACCATGCGTAACACAATACGTGAATCACATGAAATTTCAAAGAGAGTCGACTAAATACTAACCTTCCCCGGAGTGGTAGTAGGCTAGATCACGAGCCGATGAAGAGATCTTCTCTAAAACTGCATTCAGCTGATAAAATAACCAGACACCATCAGTGACTTCCACAACACACTTATTGCGTTGTGGTATGAAGTCATAAGGTAGAGCATTTCAGTTCATTTTGCTTTCTTACTCTTCTTCTTTGCCCAAGTTTACACTTCGCACTCCACTTCTTTATATCGAACATCATAATAACTAGTGCAACATGCAACGATACAACAACCATCGTATGATAGATTGCTTCACCTCCACGTTTCTAGCAGCCAGTTTTTCTTCTGACATGAGAAGTTGCTCACTGGTCGTTGACGATGAAGATGCTCTTGCCCTCCTTCCTTGGATAACAGAAGAAGTATGCCCACTTAATGAGTCTAGATGCACTTGCAAGTGTTGGAGTCGCTTTTGTAACTCTTGAGCTTCAGCCTTGTATGCAACTGTTGCCTCTCTGCAAGTCAATAGGGCAGAAACAAGAAACTCAGCATCTGTTGGAATCCAGGGCTAGCTAACAGCTCAATGAACTTCTTAACTCCAAGACCTAGAAGGCTTTGTATGGAAATGGACAAAACAACAACAACATATATTGAACAACTTAATGCTTACTTGATTTCCATCACAGACTCTTCAACCCCAAGAACTGCTTCCTGATTTGACCTCCTCCGAGCAAAAGCAGAGATACTCTCGTACGCAAAATCCAGATCCTCACCCTGACCAGCACAAGATGTCGGAAAAAAAAATTGGGTTCATTCACTAATCTTTGAACAAAAGAAACAAAAGAATGAACGTCGTCGATGAATCAAATTCTTTCCTCACGCTTTCTCTAGGAAATCTCTACGGTGTGACTCTAGACCTTCGAAAGTCACTGGTATTTCCCTACAGTAACCTAAAAATCTTAGACCCAGAGCCCTGCCTTTGTGATGCCAGCAGCTCTCAAAGATTTAGAGCAAGAGAAACATACCTCTAAGACCTTTCCTTCTTCTAAGAGCGCATTGTACCTGCAATATAGCCACCATTAGGCAAGGTAAGAAAATGATGAGGTTTTCAGCACAGGCTCTACTAAAATTCAGCATTTTAATGACCAAGGATATCAAGAGAGTCAGCTGAATGTTTCAGATTCACATGTTTTAAGATCATAGAATTTTGAAATGGCATGTGAAAAACAGCAGAAGAAGGTAAAGTTACTACGTCAGAATCAGAAGATCTTATAAAGCTTACACTTCAAACTTGCGAGATATGAAAGACATTAAAAAAAAATCATCCCCAAGAAAGACGGGAGGGATTCTAATTTAAATGTAGGTAGTCATATAATGTGTAGGGCGAAGAACAGCTGGCTAGTATTTTCCTAGTCACGAGCTGAAAATGATCAACCATACCCCTACATTGCTAAGCAGAATGATAGAATGACATCAATTTGTTTACATAAGTAGCTATAAGACCTTGTTGGGCGAATTTTAAAATTGGAAATGCCCACTCTAAGGTGGACACGGCGCCCACATTGCCTTCCTAAGGTCGAGCAAAGTACGTGAGAAAGATTATGAACGACACGACGAGCGACAGGGTAGATCTGATGAGTAAGCCAGGTAGTATCAGCAATATGACAGAGCACGCAGAAAACATCGAATGAGCAGATTTAGACTGGACATTACTGTATAATCTCAGGGGTTGAAAGCACGTTCGACGGGCGCAAATTGACGCACAGCCAGTCCAGGACCGGACGCGTTTCCTCGTACTGGAAAGGCCACTCAAAGCTGTCTGGATCCAGCGATTGCCATCCATCATACCCAAGCTCGGTCAGCAAGCTGCACAGCCTCGCTCCGCTCATTTTTGCCCCTCGGTTGGGTAGTGAGCAGTCTTCAAATTCACGGGATATTCTTCAAACCTCTTCACGTCCCAAGGCTACCGGCTGCGAGAGCCTAATTTTCACAGTCTCTGTAAAATGTCAATGCCACGCATCGGTCCCGTCTGCTCGTTGTGCCACGGGTAGCCCGCTTATTCAAATTGTCTCCAGAGCTTACAGCTCCCACGCTTCGGCTGTGGGTCCTTTCGCGGCCCCTTTCCATCGCAGGCGATCAGCATTGCCAAATTCGTCGCTCGCCGCTCAGACGCGCGTCAGGTCCTCGTCTGTTCTCCATTCCAGACACGGAGGTGCAGCAAGAACGCGCCCTAACGAACGAGTTCCCAACAAAATCTGAGACACACTTCGTTCCGCGACAACTATTGACCATCGTCACTGATCACTGGCCTCGAGCAACGTCAATCGAGCAGATCAATCGACTGCGTCTACTCGATCGCACATGCTTCCGCTCGTCTCACAGTCTTTCGCAATGCCTCACATTGACAGCCGTACTAACTAACAAACCAGCTGCCTCGTGCTGCAGGCGCAATCATTCTCCTTCGCGAGGCGACTATAATTTGGACTTTCGGCGGTTTGTTCTTCCTGCCCAACAGTTCAAATTTTTCCTTTCTTGTTCGTCAGTCAATGCGCGACAAATTGTCGAAGCTTTTCCAGCTTCCTCCTCGCTCTCTGAGGCGATTTCCAAGCGCCTCTTGTCTGTTGACATCACTTTAGCATAGACTTTCCTATGCCACTCTCCTACGAGACTAGGCTGCATATGTAATGCCTTATTCTATTCTACATCATTATAGTAGTCCTTGCTCTCCAAAGACAGTAGTATATTCTGATCTCTTGCTTCCTTTCTCTCGAAAAAAAGTCAAAAGATTTGATGCATGTTGTAAATTACATTGTCGTAAAAAATTATTAAACTCTGGAATATGTGCTACGTAACGGTGTGGACCTCGTAATATTTCCTTGTTTCTTTCTGGCTCAAAATCTTTCTAGCAATCTAAGTGTATAAGCCGCAGGGCACTCGCCATGTGGGTTGCTGCAAATATTCAAAATTTGTGTGAATTTCTTGCAAATGCATCGGAGACATATTGGGAAATGGTATCAAAAGTAGTTTGAGTTGTAGGCTTAAACTTAATATTACACCGTTAACGGATGCAGAAGTTTTACTCTCAGTGGCTTTGACAACTTTATAAAGTAATTGGGATCTGCATAGAAATAAGCACATAAAATGTTGGAACCCAACAAGACAATTAAAGAAAACATGAATTCTTACATCATGTAATAAATGAAAACGTTTGGATTCCGCAACTTGTGTAAGTATTGGGCTAAACGCCGGAACTTAGCGTGTCATGACGTGCTTTGATATTCAAGTAAGATTTGAGGATAAGGAGAGGGTCTGGAGTTACGTCCGATCCGAATGCATCATCAGCAAGAGAACTGCGTAGGCCAAAGGTCGGATATAGTCGGTCTTCAATCCGAACTACGTAAGCATTTGTGAACGACATACGTCAAACGAATGTTTGGAAAGACTTGAAAAGCAATACAAGGAAGCCCCAACGGAGCAACGACAAAAGAAGCAAGTTTGACATTCGCCCGCGACGATGTAATAAGATTTGGATCCTTGAAGGTCGATGGTTGAGCTCTGCTTGTCGGCACAACAACCGGTTTAAAAACGCAAACACTCACTTTTAGCGAAGCAAATGATGTTGGGGATGACTTCAACGACTTTCCACTTTCTGTTATACCAGTTGGTCCTCGGTCATACGTCCGTGTAGCAGTGTTTCACCCCGACATGCGATTCGAAGCCATGCTAGAGTTCACTCTAAGTTTGCGTTTGTGTGTCCTCGGGTATCCCAAGGACAGACAAATGGACAAAACAAGATGAAAGTCTTGTTAATACGCATAACTTGTTTTCATTGTCCAAAGATACCTCAGATTCCAACACCTGTGGATCAGCCAACGAATTCCAGGAATTCGATGCCACGGAAGATGTTTCCGACTTCACTCTTCATGTGAATCATGTTCTGACGATGTGGTTGTAGGTTCACACGCTTTCATATTGACATTTGCACTGTATAGCAAATTGGAAAGTCCATATTTTTCCATGGTTTTAAAATGTGCAATATTTGATTATACTAGATGACGTAATATATGTTTTTGCAATTCATTGTAGACAATATTTTACTATATCACTTGTATACTTCGATAAATTTAAGATTTGGTTTCATAATATACGAATGGCAACACTTATCTAGTATTATGAATGAGATTATAAATGATCCGATAGTTTCAATTGCCAGTTATCATCGTCCCAACTCGGCCCACTATTGTGCCATGATACATCTACAGTTACGCACTGATTAGTCAGCAGACTCGACAATCATCTCGCGTCATAAGATTGAGTCGTCTCGGCCTCAAAGAGACTCGACCGTCTGTCGAACAGAGTCCCGAGCATGACCGTGTGGCCGACAGTTGAGATTCGGCCGAATGTAAACCTGCCCTCCTTGGAGTCAATGTGCCTTGCACCCCAAGGTGATAACAGAATGACCTCAGGTTCCCAGTTCATGATCGCAGTCTACGACAAACGCGCCAAATGAGACAAAGTACCGGCCGGAGCCGGCTTTTGCGATCATTTACCTTGTGGACTTGAAATTTTCAACCTTAGGTAGTACCCCAAATTTGTTATGTGCGAAATTTGACCATTCTAAATTAAATGATTTGTGCACTGTAAATTTAAGGATAACTTTACAGGAACTCGTTAATTGTCCTTAGACCTGTTGCGCCAAGTCCGAAATCGTACACTGGAAAATATCAAATTCACCCCCCCTTGAATCAGCCAGCAAACATGTATGATTTTTGTCAATGATACATGTGATGCAATTGAACAGAAAGAGTACAAAAATGGAGAAAATTCAAACGACTAAAATGGCCTTTGACATATGATGAGTTTGAAAAGGAAGGAGTGGCATTGCATTGGTAGTTCCGGACGACACAAACAAAGCATAGCCCAAGGTGATGAAAAGGTAAAAAACTCTCTCCCTCATAAAAAGAGTTTGGTTACCCTTGATAAATTTTAAATTTCTTATGTACAAACTTTCTATAAATGATTATTCTCATCAGTTACTTTTTCTTCCGATAGTGGCTACGCACTAGTTAGTCAAGTGGTTGTTAATACTTAACGTGAAACCCTTGTACAATGTATCCAAGTAGACTAAAGTTAACTTTTTTCTCTTATATAAAATAAATAAATAGCAAAAAATATATAAATCACATGTTAAGGTCATATGGAAGATGTTATGTTACTTCATGTTTACTATATTTAACCATCTGCCTAATGTTACAGTTAGGAGTGGATATAGAGTCTACGAGACTCAAAGAACGTTAAGTTCTTCAAGTTGAGCCTGTAGCGTTTGGACTAGTGAGTGCCCATAAGCGTCGACCTGGATTCTATCGTGAGTGAATTGAGTTTGACTATATGTATGTGTGACGGTCGTGTTTGCCAGTGAGATAATCACATTTAATTCACTTGGAGAACTTTCGTTCGGGTTTAGTTAGAATTCGGACGAGTTTGCAATTTTTTATATTCATGGGATTGTGTGTGAATTTCGGTGAGAATTCAGAAAAAATCATTGAAGGTCGTATCTTGGCTGAAGTGTGACAGAGCTCGTGTGTATGAGCACAGGTAGCTTTTCCTGGAACGAGTTCAAGAGAAATGGTTGCTCGTTTTGTTCCAGAATTTTGACTTGTAGTCTAGTCTTGGATCTAGTGATTTTGATTTTGTTTGAGTATTATGATATTTTCGACCAGAGATTTGAAGTATATTGATCGATTGAGAGCTTTGATTTTGACAGCCGATTGATTGAGTATATTGATGCACGGATGACGGACTGGGGCCGTTTGTATCAGAGTGAAGGAGACAATACTGAGAATTGTCAAATTTCGGTTAGTGATCTTCCAAGGGAAGAGAGTTTTGATGATTGTATTTGACTCATGGTCAAGAATTACTGACTAGATTGATTTCTGATACATCTGTCTCCCAATTGTGTACATTGAAATAGTTTACTAGCACTGTCTTTCACCCCAGTTTCAAAGATCTTATCAAACCTTATGTCACGATAAGATTTTGAGTTAAGATTACACCTTCTCAGCAGAGAATTTTGACTCGTATTTATCATTCTCTTTTGTACTTTTACGGATACAACTCAAGTCACGTGTGTGATATCAAGACTGAGAATCTAAAATTACTAGATCTTTGCAAAATTTACATTAGTAAACACAATGATGTGAGGAGAATTGTGGATTGAGAGGAGCAGAAAAGGAATCGATTTGTTTTGATCTGGCTGGTGAAATGCATCAGATTTTTGTTATTCAAAAGATTTTAGATCAAGATTTTACGACAGGTCGAGTTTTATCTGAGTGATAGCAATCTTCTTGAGAAAAAGTTCTTACTAAAGTGTATTGAAAAAGCCAAAGATGGATTGATCAACTCGCTACCTCGCTAAACTCATGAAAAATTGATGTCGGCAGATTTCATATGTACAACATAAAATATGGTGAGAAGGAAGTTGAGGATGTTTGACGACTGAATTGATATCCCATGGCCAACAATGGAAGCTGAAGTTGTGGTACATTAGAATGTGTACACTCTTGTGTCATATGTATGTGAGAATAACATTTCAGCGATGTATAATGTATGACGATACATGTTCTTTCGACAAAGAGTTATCGTGAAATATTGCACAATAATCCATCATACTAGACAAAATGTTTGTTGTATCTATTTTTCATGGGTATTTTAAATGGTTGACATATCATTTAATATTGTTTCACCGTATAAAACGATGGAAAAATTCCAATTATTGATAAAAATAATGCTAATATTTTTATGTTAAGATATCTTAAATATTTATATTCGAGAAATTATATCTCAGACAAATTTGTCTAAAAATAAAAATTAATTTGTATAATCCTATAGAACAATAAATACATATATATCTTAATACATTATATTCATGTTGTCCAAAATAGACTACACAATATACAAGTGAAACTGCTTCACATGATCTCTTAATAGAAAATACTCTAGAACACTGTCTTTCCGAGATATCAAAATTCGCATATCCCCATATAACTAAAATTATAGGGGAACGAAAACATGAACACTTTGTATAACCTCTACTTCAAAAACCTCCACTCCCGCCATACTAGCGATACCTCCTTCATGATGATAGATAAATACCCTCATGAACTCTACCACATGGAGTTTGAGCAACCAACAAATCCACAATTGCAACTTTGTTCTTTTCAACCAAGTAGAGACACGACGTGACATTCACACTTATTAACAGCAACACATACCATCGCTCACTCTGTGTGAAGAATCCACCTCAAAAGCAATCACTAAACATAGCAATCAGTTTACATTAAGCATCCCCATCGTTTCTACAGATTTGGGATTTCTTCCGTGTGCGATGAATTATTTCTCAGTGTGATACTAATCCGAAATAGTCCCTTGCTACCGCTCGTTTGTGGAGCGGTTCATCCCATCAAAGTTTCCATGTACTCACCTGGTATTCATCCCATTATTCCGAATGAAGGACTTTCTGGTGGGACGGTGTTGATTTGTCTCCATTAAGGACGAAGGGGCGCTCTCGGAGCGAGCTCTAGTGCAAAGCCTCGGTCTACCGGACGAGAGGGTAGGGTTGGGAATTTCAGAGCGCAGGGAGCAAGGTCATCTTTGTGGACCTCTTTGGGAAAATCGAGCGAGGAGACAAGCGAGAAAGAGGAAGAATGGCGATGGCAGGAATTGGATGTCGTACACCTTCGGTCTTTCTTTCTCGACCGTCTGCAATATTAAGATTGTTACCAGCTTGTACCGCATCCAGTTCGATAGTGAATGGTAGGAATTTTTCCTCGTCCTCTCCTGGAGCCAGATTCTGGGGACAGAATGTGACGGTGGTGGGAGACAGGGGATTGACAAGGAGAAGATTCGAGCAGAGGTTATCCATCAGAGCGGTCAATGTTACCGGTCCAGGTGCTATTGATTCTCCTCTCATGCAGAGTATGCAGGCCAAGGTATACAAATTGTCAAATCTGTTCAGATGATCGCGATCTCTGTCGTGTATTTATTAGGAAGCCACCCATGAGACTGTCGTAATACGCTACGTGGATGATGACAATTGTGGCCATTTTCGATTGTTGTATGTCCTTAAACTTAGTCCGATAGCTTGATAAATATATACAAACTTACAACCACTGTGATAAATATTATGCAGATTAAGGAGCAACTTGATGCAGAGAATGTCATTGTGAAGGATGCGTACGGCGACGGTCGCCATGTCAGGTGCGACTCTCAACATTTCTCCATGAGAGGGATAATTGATGAAAATTATCACAAATTCTTCGGTTTTTTCCACACATTTTATGTGAAAATAAACGACCATGAGCAAAAATCTTCGTGAGCTTAGCTCATGGTCGATTATTTTTCACAACCCGACCTTCTTTTTCTTCATTACCCTCTGTTCAGTCAGCCCATGGTAATAGTAAACAACTGGGTTAGAAGCCGTGTTGACAGAAAGAGTTCGATGTTGTATCACACTTGAGATTTTTGTACAGTACGGCCAACTCTATGTTTTGGAGAATGATGTGGACGAATTACTCGGCCAGTGATTGCCAAGCCCAGCTTAAATTTAGTACCAAAAGCAGTCCAAACTGGTTTAACTTAATACGCCATATATCTTAGTCGGCTTGTTAATAAGTATCCTAGAATGTTATTGATACCGATCAGTAAATTCAAGTCTTTTTGGAGTTGATTTTTTTCACAGACATTGTTGAAAATATGTCTTTTTGAAAGCTCAAATCATACATAAACATTCCAAGGTTTACGAGTAAATGTTCTGAAACCTTGTGGTATTCTGTCATCAGTATTGATGTCGTAGCAGAAGTATTTGAAGGGAAAAGCGCTGTTAACAGACAACGTATGGTGTACAAGGCAATATGGGAAGAATTACAAGAGACCGTGCACGCGGTGGACCAACTCCGAACGTTCACTCCGGCTGAAGCTGCAAATCGACCCGAAGATCTTTGAGATTTTATGCAGGAGTTGTACAACTGTTTCAAGTGCCAGAGCTGATATCTAATAATACAATTTTCTGTCTAGTATTCAACCTAGACTGTCTTCTTGCCTCTTCTTGGTCAAGGAGTTCATGTACAATATATTGACAGAATGAAGCTGAAAGAAAGATGTACTTGTGCTCGAAAGTCCTCGTTTATTCTTTGCTTTCATCTTTCGCGAGACGGATGCAAATAATCATCTGGCAATAAGATATGAGTAACGATACTTGCAGGAATTCTGAGTTAACGAAATCGAAAAACTTATCTTGGTCAAATTTTTTTGTTGATCACCTACTGCTCACCCGAATCAGTCAGACTTCTCTCCGAAGTGATGTGGCTAACATGTACCTGCTCCTCGCGTAGTTTACAGTTCTCCACCTGAATCCGCCTCCTCTTTATTACTGGGAACTCTGTAAATTGTGTCAAAACAGACATATGAAAGATATCACGAGGTTTGCTTTTAGTGTTTTTCCGTATGTTCGTGTTTGTTCTTTCAAGGATGTGAGGAAATATACAGCTGTGATAAGCCTGTGGTAAGAGCCATTTTTTCCATGGTATGATAGTTTTCTTCACTATTTTCCAATCCTGTTTGTGTTGAGTGTTTATCCGTCTCTCATAATGAACAGCTCTCGTCTGCCACTAACTCTTGGTAAAGTTGATAGACCGCTAAGTCGATAGGTCGAAAGATTTCTGGTTGCTCTCCACTTAGTTGAAAGTCAAAGGCCTAATGCACACGTCATAATGCAGGTAGTAGTCACTAGGAATTTTGCTACAGTTTCAGGGCGCATACATACTTTTTTAAACATACTTGCCGACGCTCTTGTTGATTGAGGTTTGAACATGGAGAAATTTTTGGATCATCATGAATTATTGCCAATGATTCTTGACCACTACCTTCTTGATGCGCAAAGGAGCAGTAGATGAGAGGGTACAATAAAGAAATACTGGAAGCTACCAAAACGAGTAGCAGTTGATTGGATTCCACGTTGGGTTTAAAAAATATATTCTAGTTACTTATTACACCATGCTTCTATGGCCTGTGTAGAGAGAAGGAACAGAGTATGCTCTTATCTTTCTACTGCAATGTCAGATTCTGTTGGCATTTTCTTGTGATACCTTTCCGTATGAACCGATGTTCCGCAATGTTAGCTTTCTTGCAACCAAGCTTTTGCTTTTATCTGCGACATGGTATGTATTGAAGCACAAATGTGTACTGAAATATAAATGTATCGTACTCATCGATTGGCTACTATGTAAGACTTGTGTTCGCATCTAGTGTACGGGAAATTACAGGGAGCTCGAGAATTCCCATTCAAGGAAAACGAATTCCAATTTCCCACCGTGGCGAAGAGGAACCTGTTCTCATTGTGGTCTTTCCACTCCAGACTTGTGATTGTCTTGAGAGTGTTGTTTGAATTAATAAATCAGATTAGTAATGCGCACTTCCCGTTACATGTCATCACAAATCACTCAGCTTGCAAGACTTTCGAACAAGGAGGTTCTAATACTTATGAGACAGATGCCCTTCATTACATAACACATATAAGGATACATTGATCGCTTCGGTACTAATTGTTTTAAAAATTGGGCTTAGAATATTTCGTAAGAAGTGCTTTTCAGTCTGTAACACTGACATCAGTAGAATGAACACCTCAGCGCTTGGTGTTTCAAATAAGAATTTGCAGAAGTACTCTTCATTCTACCACGTACTGCAACCATGTAGCTTTCAAATGGTTGAAGCACCATAAATGCTGTGTTCACATTTGATAACCAAATACTATTGAAATTTAATGTTGTTTTTCCAATGCATTCCAAACCTTAAAACTGCTAGCTGAATAACCTTACAATGAAATTAAGAACAAAGGATCAGTTTTGAGAACCTTAATTATCCAGGTAACTTAGATCAGGAGCAGAAGGGAGTGGTAGATGTCATATAGATAGGATGTATAGATGGGTTCTTGCCATCAAACTTTATGTCTCTAATTCCAGAAAGACATATATGATAACTAGTATATGGTGTAACTCCTGGGGGCCAACTAACTAAACCACGGTCCCTATAAGGCGAGTAGAGAACTAATTTTCTAAGCACCCGATGTGGTCGCAAGTTTCTCGACCTCTTGTTTTTCTGCAGCAGACCCAAATGAGGATCACAGAGCGTTCAGACATAACCGTAAACGTATATCGCAGTTGCACAGTTCCCAGGAATAAACTTTTCTGGCAGTCCCGTAAAAGAAGTTTTCGCTTGTCCTATTAGAAGGGATGCGGTGAACGAAAGAAGGCACCGGAGTTTCAACTTCCAAGTTAGAATAGTCTACCAACTTAGTGTACCTCCAAGTGTGGAGTTGCTTCCGGTCTTTAGGGTTTAGGGTTCATTTCGAGGGAGCATACAAACTGCATTCCTTCGAGGGTGTTAAGAACTAGGTTATGCGCGAAGCTCCCTCTTTTCACTCACTTTCGTCGGCCACAGCAGCTCTCGTCTCGCCCGTATTGCCGTCGCGCTTCGATCCCTTGGCGCAAGTTCGAAGCCATGAAGGTACGCAGATTGAACACTCGTGATACTGCCATGGAAATGGGCTCGCGGATTAAGTTTTTCAAACGTTCGGCGGATGGAGAACTGGTCGATTTTGTGGTTAGGGTTTGTAGTTCAGGAAACTGGTGACAGGATTTGACTCTGAACTGAAATCGCTTGATGCCCGAGTAACAAATGATGTGCTTGTTGTTTTGTAGTTGAACATTGCGTGCCCCACCACGGGGTGCCAGAAGAAGGTGGAGATCGATGACGATCAGAAGCTGTAAGTGTAACCCTATTCTCTTTTCGTCTGCCGTACTTGCTAGCGCGTAGGAGCACCAGGAAGGAACTCCGAGTGTGGTCTTCTTCTTGAGTTCTGAGTTGCGTTTTGTGGTGAAACAGGCGCGCGTTTTACGACAAGCGCTTGTCCCATGAGGTCAGCGGTGATTCTCTTGGAGATGAATTCAAGGGATACGTCTTCAAGATCATGGGAGGATGCGACAAGCAAGGTTTCCCCATGAAGCAGGGAGTTATCACCCAGGGTCGTGTGCGCATCTTGATGCACAGAGGTACCCCATGCTTCCGAGGACACGGAAGGCGCAATGGTGAGCGCAGACGCAAGTCTGTTAGAGGATGCATTGTTAGCCCGGATCTGTCTGTGTTGAACCTTGTCATCGTTAAGCAAGGAGAGAAGCACCTTCCCGGACTTACCGACACCGAGAAGCCTAGGATGAGGGGTCCCAAGAGGGCCACGAAGATTAGAAAGCTGTTTAACCTCTCGAAGGAAGATGATGTGAGGAAGTACGTCAACACCTACCGCCGAACATTCACCTCTGCCACAGGTGAGAAAAATTTGAATCTGAGATATCATTTCAAATTTCCAAAAACTATATTCTGTTTGTGCATCGCTCACCCAATTCCATTGTGACCTGCAGGTAAGAAGTGCAGCAAAGCACCCAAGATTCAGAGGCTTGTGACTCCTCTTACCCTCCAGAGGAAGCGCTCCAGACTCGCAGAGAAGAAGAAGCGTGTTGCTAAGGCCAAGAGCGAAGCTGGTGAATACCAAAAGCTTCTTGCTTTGAGGTTGAAGGAGCAGAGGGAACACAGAAGCGAGAGTCTTGCGAAGAAGCGGGCCTCCCGAGCCTCCGTTGCATCCAAGGTCGAGTCTTAAAATGTGGGCCGGGTGGAATGAGAGTTTAGTTTTTTCAACAGGTGCTTGTTCTCAAGGATTAACCTGTTGTAACGCGAACGCCATGTGAAGTCTTTAATATATCAAGTTGTAAATGAAAGTTGCAATTTGCCCCACCACTTGCAGTGGATTTTTATCTGGAGAACAGAACATAAATTTATAATCTCCGTTTCCGACATTCCTGTATCATGGTAATCGCATTTGCCCGTTTTGTTTTGCTCGTAGTACGTCTGTGAATTCCTTTTTCTTGGTATTTGCAATCGTAGAGCTGTAACATGAAGTCACGGTGAATTGGCCGTCCGGGTACATGTGTAATTTAACTTCTCGCCACTTGATTACTGATTCTCACACAATACCACTGTTCTAGGCTGACACACGCAGACCGGTTCTGGTGCATTTAGTGTGAGGCATGCACATGGTATTTCTGTCCAATATACCTTTCGCATCTCTGCTGTTTGGGGTTTTCATGCCTACTCCCTACAGGATCACCTGGTTACGAAGCTTGAATTCAGCTTGTCAGATGTCGAACTATTTACCGTAGGGTCAGAAGGTTTGTAGTTTCAGATTGGATTCCCGGAGAGCAGATATGGCGTCATCAGTACTATGACACTATACCTGGGCTTGAAGAAGCAATAAGAGACTAAGCCACCGGGTTTGTAGGTAAATTGCATTTTAGGGTCGGAGCAAGATGCACGAGAGTGGATGGAGAGACACATTGGACTATATTTAATATGGATAGATTGTTATGAAATCGACGCAAATAGACAGCGTAATGGCTGGCAGACAGCGCATTCGTTATGTAAGTACTGTCTGCCAGTGATAACGCCGTATTTATCAGTCGCGTTACTTTCAAATGTTTCACTGTCCTTTCATATTTCTTATTTGCTTTCATCTGTGGATGTAGAAGGCGTGGCAGTTTAGTTTGGTATAGTCGTTTTCGTTAACATTTCTACACCCGAACTGAATACGGATTTGTATAGGTCTGGTTATCTGTGGAGACATACTGAAAAGAACGCGCAGCTTCAGGATAAATGGAGTAAAGTGTCGTGTGGCTTATCGTCCCTGTTTGGTCTGATCTGCGCCCTTTCATTTGCGTGAGAATCACTCACTCAATCTCTAACATAATTTTAACTTAGTGCACACCCCGACGTCATCGGTACATAGTGTAAATCACTCGCATTCAATGGAACATGTCCGCCTTACACCTGCAGCAGACACTTCTTTCCTGCCAAATTTTTCCTGCTACGGGTTACCCGAAGCTAGTGATTATCGTCCCGTGAATGCGCAGAGTGTGAAAAGCAGGAGTGACAATATCTGAGTCCCAACGGTCTTGACTGTACAATTCATGTGTATTACTTACCCTAGAGAATAATACATATGTTACAGGGTTACGAAATTTCAATCTATATTAAACAATCAAGTCAAAATCAACGTTAGAGGTATCGTCTGTACGTATAACTAGCGCATTCTATGCGACCGTCCGGCCGCAAATGTCTACCAGAACAACTGAACACTCATCATATGAACATGCTTGCTCCTGCGGGATAACGTCACACATGTAGTGTAAACGATGTTATGCAAATGTGCAAAAGCTGAGTTATGCGCCGTTGGTATTGAGTGGAGGGTGTAATATATTAAATTGCACACTTGGGAGGATACACAATTCACTTACATTCTCTTGTAGATTCCTTGTGAAAATACCACACTGCGACCTTGCGTACTGTCAAACGCATTCGCCTGCACTCTGAAACATTTCAGACCAAAGACAGACCACTACATTCATGCTACACCATAATGATAAAATGATTGGTGAGTGAAACCTACATGTACGAAAAGAAATCACCTTACCAACTCTACCCTCCTCGCTAATGATCAGCGGAGACGAATGAAATTAGAATATGATGCGTTTCCTAAAAGTATGTTTTTAACTTACTAACTTCATGCAATATAACTTTCAGTCACTTGTTGACACTCTTCAGCTTCCAAACGAATCTATAACCCAAGAAAACTCCCAGTACCAGGATTTATGCTCCGACCTTGCGGTGCTTGCAGCAAACTACGCTTCAACCAAGACAAAGTAACAATCTCAGCCTTAGCATCATTCTGCGGATGGCAGGATGTCAGTTATATGATCAGTATGAGGCTCCATACCTGTTTCATGACAGATTCACCAGTTTCACGTATCCAGATTTGGTTTCCAGCCCCTTCATTTATGCATCAGTCACTAGTATGTTCCTGATGCGGAAGCATCCATCGGCAACTCTGTGGAAGGCTCGATAAACCACGCATGTTTCTTGTTGGTTGGATGCAGCGTGGACAAAGTCCATCAACGTCACCATCATAAGCGATCTCCTTACTACTCTTGTGTAAATGCCAGGGATTTTGTAGAAATCCTTCAGCGTTTGTTAGGGTACGTTGACTAAACATAATACACTTAAAAAGGCATGTAAAAAAACAGTTGACAGTAGAAAATAGATGGTTCACGAATACAGCTTTCTTATATAGTGATTTTAAACCACAATTTGGCTAATTGTATTGAAATAGTTAGAGTCATCCAAGACAAAACGTTGAGATTGAGATTATTAAGTTGAGATTTAACTCGTAGAGAAAAGTAACTTGACTAGATCACTGTGTACTTGTTATGAGTCGAGGACTTTGATGTGGTCCAAACCTTCACATTTATCACCAACTTCCAGGTTACTAACCTATTCCCCACCCGGTTCATGGGGAATAGGTTGCTATGATGAATATCCCTCGCGTAAATGAGGCCTTGAGTAATTTGGAATCCATGTAGATTATCAAATAAACATGCTATGAACATCTTCTAACATAAATTCATTACTTAATTTTTACAAATATAATTTTCTCCAAACTTGAGTTTAGTTCACATAGAAAAATATTAAAATGCTTCGAGCTTTTTGTTAATGTAAAGTTTCTAGAACGACTATATGTGCATTTTGGTAAGATTTTAATTGGACTTAAAACACATCAATTCCTGATTGAAGATGCTTTAACTCCATGTTACAATGCTAACATGAAGCTCACAATTTAGATGTTCAAGTGGTTCTACTTTTATGAGTATACGTTCAACTCTTTACTTTACATAACCTAAGTACTTCTCTGAATATTGAAAAGTATGAGTAAATGAAAGTTACAATCAGTTTTATTATGTAATGATTGACAAATTGAACTAACTAACCATGGTTATGTTAACTAGAGTTAACTCGTGACAAGCTCCGCCTTGAATCATATCTTGAGGATATTAACCTCCACACGTTGTACTGTACAAAAAGTTTTAGAAATAAATATTACATAGGTTCTTCTCTAAACTAGAGTTAATTGAAACTAAAATGCAATTAAATTGTGATAGAACAAAATCATGTGCAAAAATTACATAAGTGCTAGTCTGCACAAATAAAATTTATAATCGAATCCTAAAATATAGCATTATGTATTGAAAAACTCTTCAAAAGAATCACTTTGGTAAAGTCATGAACAAGACTAAGATTGTAACAAAAAACTTTGAACTTCATGTCATGTTGGTACTATCAATCTTCATAAGTTCAATCATTTGATTATAAAGAAATTGTTTTAAAAAATAACATATTATGTTCTACTCTATTTTTAATTATCTAATGTAACGCTAAATTTTAGACAGAGCAAACCAACAACATGATGAACCTAGAAGACACAAGTATAACGTGGTTCACCTTCAGGGGTTACGTCCACGGAGTAATAAGCTCGAAAAAGTTTATTGTTTGAAGTGTGAAACTTACTATCACCCTTAGGATATATATATCCAAGGTAGTCAACCACTATAAGCTATAAATAGCTACATATGCGGTTAACCTCAGTTAACTTCTTAACCAGAGTTAACCTCAACAATCTCCCCTTTAACTCGCGTTAAGGAGTCTTAGTAACCTCTCTAACCTATATTATTACTCAGCGGGAAGTTCTAGACAAAATTCCGACTCAAAGTTCTTTAAACGAGAGTTAACTAGAACTAAGCCGAAGTCATAACACGATAGAGTAATAATATAAAGAGTTAACTCAACAATCTCATCTTAAGTATTGTCAAGGAATTTCAGTCAACTCTCTACCCTATATCATTACTCTCATACCAAGACAGAGCAATAATATAAAGAGTTAACTCAACAATCTCATCTTAAGTATTGTCAAGGAATTTCAGTCAACTCTCTAACCTATATTATTACTATCATACCAAAATAGAGTAATAATATATAGAGTTAGCTCACAAATCTCACCTTAACTCTTGTCAAGGAATTTCAGTCAACTCTCTAACCTATATTATTACTATCATATCAAAATAGAGTAATACTATGTAGAGTTAAATCGCAAATCTCACCTTAACTCATGTCAAGGAATTTCAGTCAACTCTCTAAACTATACTATTACTCTCATTACCAAGATAGAATAATTATATATAGAGTTAACTCACAAATCTCAATTTAATTCATGTCAAGGAATCTCAATCAACTATCTAACCTATACTATTACTCTCATTACCAAGATAGAGTAATAATATATAGAGTTAACTCACAAATCTCACCTTAACTCCATGAATCTCAGTCATCTCTCTAACCTATATTATTTCTCCGCGGGAAGTTTTAGACGGAAACCTATCACAATGTCCCTCTTTAAACTAAAGTTAACTAAAATTAAACCGTAGCTATAAGAGTATGGAGTAATAATATATAGAGGTAACTAAAAATTATATCTCTCGTGCTTCCTATGAACAACTTGCATAGTAGCACGGTGTTGCCTAAAAATCTCCAAAGGAATAACTTTGGTCAATGCATCAGCTAGATTGAGTTTACTGTCAATCTTGACTAACTCAATTGTTTTATAAGACATTGCTTGTCTAATAAAGTGATACCTGATGTTGATGTGCTTCACTTTGCTATCCATGACTTAGTTCGCAGCCAAGTGTAAAGCACTCTGACTATCACAATGAAGATTGACCACGCCTTGTGTTAATCACATCTCCATGATAAGCGTATCAAACCAAATAGCTTTCTTTGCTGCTTCTGCTACTGCCACATACTCAGCTTCTGTTGTTGACTGAGCTACACACTTCTGCAAGGTAGATCTCCAACTAATGCTTCCACCACCAAGTGTAAATACATATCCAGTTGTAGATCTCCTTTTGTCTAAATCTTGTCCGTAGTCAGCATCAACGTGGCTAAACAAGGACTTGAAATTGTCTAATAACCCATCAAACAATAAGCCATAATCCATAATACTCTTCAGATATCTCAGAATTTCACTGCTTCCTAGTGAACTTTCTCTGGATTTGACATGTACTTGCTCACCTTCCCCATAGCTAAAGCAATATCAGGCCTAGTGCACACCATTAAATACATGAGGGTGCCTACAGCTTGTTCATAGAGAACACATGACATTCTTCCTCTCTTCACAGCATCTGTAGGACGTTGGGCTACAGAGAGTTGAAAATGTGCAAGCAGAGGAGTCCATACTCCTTTCGAATCGGCCATGTTGAACCTGTCAAGTATACGGCAAACATACTTGCCCTGACTCAGCAATAGCTTATTTTGTTCAAAATTCCTATGAATATTCATGCATAATATACTCTTTGACTCCTCCATATCCTTCATCTTAAATGCAAACTTCAGCTAATTCTTGCATTCATCGACATTGGATTGGTTTTTTTGCCAAGATAAACATGTTGTCAACGTAGAGTACTAAAATGATGAGATTGAACGTCTCATCATTCACCTTCTTCATATAGACA